TGGGGTGGGGTTGGGGGGGAAGTAAAGATAGGGGAGTTTCAAAAGGCTTTTCATATGCTAAAGAAGACTCACTGGAAACCTGAGGCCTTGCTTTTGTCAAACCAAGGTTGTTTATCCCTCTAGCAAGGCTTTAACATTAAGACAGCTGGGAGCTTCCTGGAGGATCTTTATACTCTGCCCGCCTCAAGTATTTGTCCATGGGCTGCAGGTTATATGGACCTTTAATTTTATTACATTTCCTTCTGCCTTTGTTCTCCACATCAGTAGGGGGCTTGGGGAGCTGTGGCCCTCGCAGGGGCAGTCTGGGGCTCTGCACCTCTGCCCTGCACAGGATCTTCCATCCAGGTCATCTCCTGGGGATGACCCACTGCTGGCCCAGCTGGCCAAGCTCCGGGACTGAGGCCCGAGTGCTTGTGCTTATCCTCGGGGGTGGGGGTGGTGCTCGGGTTCCAGCCCGGTGAGAGGGAGCCAGGGGCCGACTGACGCTTGCTGCCAGCAGCCGGAGCACTGCGGGAGGTCATCCCCTGGCTTTTACCGTCTCCCTGCATTTCCTAGGCGAGAAAGCTGAGATTCAGAGGTCCCGCCTGGGGCAATGGTCAGGCACTGGAAAAGCTAGTCTTGTCTTTGTGATTCCAAAGCTCTGCCCAGCATCTTCACCACCACCTACCCACACCCCCCAACATATCACAGGAAGTAAAGGATCTGGGAGGGGGGCGTTCACCCAAAGAACGTTTTGGACTACAAGTTTCAGAAATTCTATCATGGAAGAAGGGACAGGTTTATTCTGTATTGTGATGCAGAGCAGAACAAGGAGGCATGGAAGATTCTAGAATGCATCTGAGAAATCTCCAAGAAACCCTTTCTCTTAGGGCAGATCAGCAAATATGCCTTGCCTGCCCTGCTGTGGGGACTTCAGAGGGCTCTGAGTTTCTGTGCCCCTGGCTTCCCCTTGGAGGGGTAGTCCCTGGACTTTGGGAGGGAGCTGGGTGGTCCAGAGACCTGTGAGTGCCCGGGTCAGAAAGCCACAACTCCTGCTGGATCCCAGGAAGCCCTGCAGGAAGACTGTTTTCTGTCTCCTGCTAAACTACGGCAACCTGTGGAGGGTTTTCCTAGCTGGTGCGGGGTGGGGGGAAATGGGATGCCAGGCTGGAGGGCCCAGTGGGAGGTGGCATGAAGAGCCCAGACTCAAGCCAGCTGGCCCGGCTTCATATCCTGACTCCAGCACTTTCCACCTGTGTGACTGCGGCCAAGTTACCTAACCTCTCCACAATTTTTCTCATCTATAAAATGGGGACAAGATGGTACTCTGCTACAGAGCTGTTGTGAGGATCGATAAACTTAACCCAAAGAGCTGAAGTCACCAAGCACTCAACACTCATTAGTTAAACAAAAACAACCACTGGCAGAGATCCCGAATGGCTACAAACTCGCACTTTGCCGGGCTTGACGGCCTGGCGGGGGAAGAGGCCCCCATGGGTACTGAGTTGCCTGTTGATGCAAGTTTAAGTCTTTTGGGTTGCTTTCTCCCTGCCCATGGCCACCAAGGCTGCTGGCCTTGGTCTCTGGGGGGCTAGAGGGTGGTGAGGACTCAGGATGGTGTTCCAGGCAGCTGTCCAAAGCAGATGTGCGCAGGGCCTCGTGGGTAGCTTGTAAAACATGGTTTGGTCACCAGCACCATGAGTATTGGGCACAGATGCCCTTCCCATTAAGAGAAAGAGGACTTCCTGATGGCTGATGCCAGGGCTGGGGCAGGAAAGCCTCGAGATGAGCCTTACTGCAAACTTAAGAACTGTATCTAGATGCCACCAATAGAACCTTCCAGTCCCCTGCTGCCCCCAGCTCTCAGTCTGGCATCCTAGCCCCACTCTTTTGCCCCTACTTCCCTCCAGCCACAAATGCCCCTTCCTGTCATTGAAATCCTAACTACCCTTCAAAAGTCCTGGTCACAGGACTCTGGAGCCAGATCAGAGGGCCTCCCCCTGGCCAAATCTGGGGCAGTTTGGGCACCAAAATGATGAAATTCAGCAAGGAACTGTAAAAATATAGGAGTCCACACTGTTGATAAATAGATCCATGGAAGAGAAGGGAAGGCTCTTGCCTACAGCAAAATGCCGAGAGGCTGCTGGAGTTGGAAAGTCAGTTTGCAGCCTTCGTAAAGATCAGATTAGGCAAGAATCAGCAGGTGTTATGTCTAGGGGTGATGGATTTTAATTTTGACGAGGAGCAGAATATTTGCACGCTCTTAAAGTGTGTCCCCGCAGACTTCTTTTAAGTTGCAAGGGAGGAAAAGAACAAAACAGTAATTACACGGTGGAGAAATCAAGTTAACACCTGGCCTGGGTGATGACAGTTAACATCACGTATGAGGGACAGATGGACGGATACTGTGTGTCTCCTGTGTGATAGCCCAAGACCCTACCACCTCTTTCAGCTGAGGACCCATAATCCCAGTCTCACCATGAGGAAGCACCAGACAACCACAAAACGTGGGATTCTTTTTCTTTTTTGTCCAATTTTTTTTTTTTTTAAGTAGGCTCCAACACCTAGCTTGGGGCTTAAACTCACAACCCTGAGATCATGGGTCACCTGCTGTACCAACTGAGCCAGCCAGGTGTCCCAAAACATAGGACTCTTTATTAAAAAGACAGAGATGATGGTCCTGATATTCTTCCAAAATGTCAGTATCACAAAAGACACATGAAAGGAATGCAAAGAGACAGGCAACACCTGCCCCTACACTGGATCCTGTACTGGAGGGGGGAATGATCTAAGGGACATGATTAGGTCACCTGAGAAAACTGAAATATGGGCCATATGTTAGGTAAGGGTTCTAGCAATGTAAACTTATGAAATCAATAGCTGTGGTTGTGGCAGAAAAGGTCTTTTACTTTTTTAAAAAAGATTTTATTTATTTATTTGAGAGAGAGAGAGAGAACATGAGCAGGGGGAAGGGGCAGAGGGAGAGGGAGAAGCAGGCTCCCTACTGAGCAGGGAGCCCCAATACAAGGCTCGATCCCAGAACCCTGGGATCATGACCTGAGCCACAGGCAGACACTTAACTGACTGAGACACCCAGGCGTCCCAGAGAATGTCTTTATTCGTAGGAAATACACAATGAAGTAGGGATGAAGGGCCATGGTATATGTATATTACCCTCAGATAATTCAGAAAACAAATTGTGTGTGTGTGTATGTGCGCGCATCTGCACGTGCAGGCAGAGAAGGCCCAGGCACAAAATGATAAAGCAAATAAGGTTTATTTCACCGTTAATCTTGGTGAAAGGTTATGTGGTGTTCTGTGTACTGTTTCTACCTTTGCAACTTTTTGTAAGTAAGAAATTATTTCCAAGTAAAAAGAGTAACTTGAGAAAATCATATTTAAAATGTCCCCCAAGTAAAAAATTGTTACGCTGGAGGTCTAAAGAGAGATATACTAGTAGGTTCCACTTGGATTAAGTTCAGGATCAGGTAAGTGAGTCAGTGGTGAGAAAAACCAGGGGGTGATAAACTGGAAAGAGGCACAAGAGAGCCCTGTGGGAATGCTTGAAATGTGCTCTGGCTTGATCTGGATGGAGGTCACAGGAGTGTTTACCTGTGTGTTCATCTACCTGCACTTGAGGCATTTTGCTATATGTATATCTTTAAAAAAAATTTTGGTGCTTAATTAAAAAACACACAGAAACAGAATAAGATCTGTAACACAGTACCATTTACTTATGTTAAGAATATGCGTGTAACATGCCAAAGTGGGCTAAAATGAAAAACAAAACAACCACAAAAAACAGAAAACCCTTCATCTGCCCAATGCAAGGCACCCAAAAGAGGTAGGAGTTGGTTCCTGCCATTACTGATGGCCTGAGGTTGTGCAGGACTCAGGGGTGAGGCCCTGGCCCTGTCCTGGGCTGGGGTGGGAGGTCCCATGGTGTGTGGGCTGCTGGCAGAGTTAGAGCAAGGTGGAGGGGATGTTTGCATCCAGGGCAGCTCAGCCCTGGGCCTGTGTGTTGGGGCCTTGGCTCCTGGTTGTTGGCTACGTGCTCTGTGTCCAGCCACTGTTCTGAGTGCCTTGTATTAACTCTCTAAGCCTTACAACAACCCTGTTGGATAGGTGGTGGTATTTCCCTCTGTTCCCTCTAACAGTCGTATCTGATGTTCACTGAGTACTGTGCAGAGCGCATGCACTCCCCCGTTCATCCTCAAGCAGTCCCGTGAGGTACATCCTGTAATATGATGGTTAGTGATTTGTTTTAGGCTCACAGCTGTTAACGTGGCCTCCAGGGACTTGACCCGAGACTGAGTGATCTTAAAGGTTAGGTATGAGGCGCTGTAGAGTGTTCGCAAGAGTTAATATAGCTGCTGCCTTGTTCTGCTCCTTTTTTTTTCTCAATTGAGGTAAAACTCATGTGACATAAAATGAACCATTTTAAAGTGTACAGTTCAATGGTATTTAGTACATCCACAGTGTTCTGCAACCATCACTTTACCTCGTTCCAAAGTAGTTTCCTCACCCCAAAGGAGACCCTGCACCCGTTCCCCCAGCCCCTGGCAACCACTCATCTACTCTCGGTCTCCATGGAGGTGCACATTCTGGACCTTTCCTATAAATGGAATAGTACGCTATGTTAACTTTGGTGGTCTGGCTTCTTTCATTCAGCATCCTGTTTCTGAGATTCAGGGCATGTAGCAATGCTTCATTCCTTTTCCTGGCTGAATACTGTTCTGCTGTTTGGATATAACCACGTTGAGTTTGTCCGCTTACCTGTGGCGGGACACTCAGCTGCTGGGGACATCTGCGCCCAAGTCCTTGTTTGAGCACCTGTTTCCCCTTGTTCCAGTTCTACCCAGGAGTGGCCGTGCTGGGATACACGGCAGTGTTAACGTTTCACTGTATTTGGGGGGGATGCTTCCCTGAATGTGGTTGTAATGGTGCAGTGGGCTCCGAGGGCCCCCTACCCGGGGCTGGGCGCCAGCCGCTCAGCCCCACGTGCAGTGGGTGATGGAGAGCTGTATCAGCGTCTTCCTGTTCCCCGTCCTTCTCTGCCTGCTTACCCCCGGCCCCCAACCTGTCCTCTCTCCTCAACAGATGTACCTGTGGAGAAGCTGGCTGCCATGCCCGCCTTGCGCAGCATCAACCTCCGCTTCAACCCCCTGAGTGCTGAGGTGCGCGTCATCGCTCCGCCACTCATCAAGTTTGACATGCTCATGTCTCCTGAGGGCGCCCGGGCCCCCCCACCTTAGGCCTCGCTCCTCATGCCCACCCAGCAGGGGACAGAGGCCACCTGGGCTGGCACCCTGAGGGGAGGGAGTCCCACAGGCCCCTGGGAGGCCAAGCCTGGGGGGCTGGGGGTGGGTGGGCCAAAGAGCATGTGGTGGGAGGGGGCGCAGCTGGTCCAGGATAGATAGCTTAGAGCAGTAGTGGGCCCTGGATGCCCAGGAGGCGGAGGTGAGGTGGGGCTGGAGCCTGGACGCTGGGCACTCACAGCTTCCATGCACATTTGGGCAGACGCCCACCCTCTCCGAGCCTTGTTATTTGGGAAGAGGGGCAGTGGTGGGGGGCCTCTGCCTCCTTTGAGCTCCTTGGAGGCTCTTTGGGCAACACATGCCTTCAAGTTACCCTCACATCATCAGGCACCTTCCGAGCCCACAGATGGCCATCACCGAGCTCTTTCTGGGCCACTGTGGGTTTGAGGCCTTGTTGCTGGTGTTGAGAGCCAGCCGCTTCCCTGAGAGGAACAGGAGACAGCCTCCAGCTGTTCATTGCTTCCTGAGGACCGACCTGCAGGAGGCCCTCTACGGGGCCCCAGCCTCAGCCCTGTGGGTCTCTGGATTGGCAGGAGCCTGAACCAGGAGTCATGGGAAAGCTGTGGAGACAGTGCGGCCCTGTGCGCTGGCCGGGGCTGAGAACGTTTATTAGGAGCCCAAGGCCCATCAGGTCAGCTCGGTCCTTCCTCGTGATGAAGACTTCAGCGGGGTAGGAAGTTCCCAGTGCGCCTCAGGACAGACCAGGTGTGCCTGGCATCAGCCCTTGAGCCGCAGAGAGGTGGCCCAAGAGAAGCAAAGCCAGTCGTGTCCGTGGCTCTGGTACAAGGTAATTGCCTACCACCACGGTCTGTGGCTGCCTCGTCACTGGTCCACCTGGGGGCAGAAGGCACTTTGGACCATTGGATTTGTGGCTGCCCAGCTCCCACGCCTCCACCCAAAAGCCCTGATGGCCTAGTCATTTCTGGGCCCTCCACCTGGAGTCTAGGATGTGGCCAAGCCGTAGGGCTGGGACTGAGGGCTTGCCCGGGACATGGGACTGCAGTGCTCCCACTGGGACAGTACCTGGCAAACAGGGACAACTGATTTCCTACCAGGGAAGGGCCTGGGGCTCTTGCTTTCTGATAATATCTGTGGTGTGGAGAACTCCTGACTCCTGACCTCTTGATGCCCTAGGTATCCACCTCCCACCTTCTCATCTGTGGAGCAAGCAGACTCAGAGCCCAGAGCCCACCTGGCCTGGCCCTTTGTCTTGGTCTGTGGAAGATACCTGAGACCCCAGGACGTGGGGCAGGCCAGGCCAGGCCATCCAAACCTACATCCACGCACCGGTAGCCTCTCTTCCACTCCCAGGGTTAAGCTTCTCCAGCCCAGACCCTCATTCTCAGAATGCTGTGTTCCTTCTCCCCTCCCCGGCCCTGGGGCCTGCCCCTGCCCAGGCCCCCTGTCTCCTGGCAAGGACTGACAGGTTGGACCATTGTTGGCCCATCACTGAGTGCTCAGTGTCTCAAGAGATGCTGTGTTTAGTTGCTTATGTCATAAGGCCTGGTTCACCAAGCTCTGGGAAAGGGGTTTGCAGGTCAAGGAGGTCCGGATGGATCTTCAGGGCTGCAGGGCTCAGCTGTGGACAAGTGGGAACTATGGCCCAGGCCAGGCTGGCCTGGCCCCACCCACTCTGTGTCCCAGAGTCAAAGAAGAAGTGCACTTTTCTGATAGGCACAAAGGCACTGTGTGGCCAAAGCCGTGCAGTTCAGAGTCTGGTCTGTGGACGAGCAGCACGGGCATCCCTGGGACTTATTAGAAATGCAGAATCCCAGGCCCCAGCCAAGGCCTCCAGAATCAGAACCCGCATTTCAACAAGATCCCTAGGTGATTCCTATAAGCACTTTACCGTTTGAGAAGCCAGGGTCTAGGGGTGACCCTGGGGTTGTCCTTGGAGTGGAGGGTGGAGGTTCTTAGCCCTCCCCCTGCTACTCCAGGTTTCTGAGCCTGTGCTCACCCCCCTCCCTAAGCCAGCCCTGGGACACCCCGGGGCTCTTAGATCTTTTCAGAGTCTGCGTGACTCTTGCAGCGAAGGGAATGACCTGAAGTCACCAGATGAGAGTTTGCCTGGCCCTCTGGACACTGCCTTTCTGGTTACCCTCTGCATACCCCTCTGCATACCCAGCTCCTGCTCCCCCACATCCTCACGTCAGGCCCTTTGAAGGGGTTGTTGCTTCTGGAAGTTGTTTTCTCCTCTGCTCGGAGAGTTTGCCCTTGCCTGTGTGGGAAAGCCTGAGCCGTGAGAGAAGCCCCCAGATCTGAGCCCACAGTGTAAATGAGCCCTTACTTAGCTTCAGTCCGCAATAAAGAACGCATTGGTTTCATCCGCCTGCTTGGTGCTGGGTTCATTCTCTCCACAGAGACCTCCCATTGCCTGGGTGTCAAACCTGAGGGGCTGCCTCTCTTGTTGAAAGCTTGAGGTTCAAAAGGCACCACCCTGGGATGATACTCAGAATGTTGACAGGTGGGTGCCGAGGCGGCCAGGTAGAGGTGATGCATGGCCTAGAATTGTGCTATTGCAGGGCAGCCAGACCCCAGCCCCGGGGGTGGGGGGCGGGGGGGACGGCGACCACAGACCTGGGAAAGGATGAAGGCACCTGCCATCCCCCAGTTTCTCCCTTACCGATGCGAGAAATTACACCGTTAGCAATTCATTCCTCAGGGTCTGTGGTTCTCAGAGAGAGGTCTCTGGACCAGCACACCCGAGGGAGCTGGTTAGACGTGCAAATTCTCGGCCCCAGCCCAGATCTCCAGAATCAGACACGGGGCCGGGCCGGCACTCTGCTCCAGCAAGCCTTCCGGGGGTTCCGCTGCCAGCTCAAGTTAAGAGTTCGGAGTTCAAGTCGGGTTTTGTTTTCTAAATCTGAAAGGCCAGCTGAGTTTGTCTTGAGTTGGGCCAGGCAGTGTCTAAGCATGTGGCAGATCTTACCTCATTTAATCCTGTAACAACCCTAGCTGGAGCTCAGTTGGACAGATCCCATTCCCTCTCCGGGCCGTTTCCTGTTGATAAGGGGGCTGCCCCAGAAGATCCTCGAAGGCCTCTCTGGAACACTTGATCCCTATTTCTCGATTCTGGGGCCCTGCTGTGTCTGTCCCTTGTGGTTGAGCCTGGACACAGGCTGCCCACCCTCACCTCAAAGCTCAGACAGAGGACTCCATTTCTTCTGGTCAAACCCTGGCTCGCCAAAAATAGCACCAGATTGGCCCCTGGATCAGACAAAGCTCCAGATTCCTCATGGCAAAGGAAGCTGTGCCTTGAGAGAGTCCAACTAGTGTGTCCCCATGGGAAGACAGAAGTCACAGTAGTTAGATTTCGGAGTGTGGTTTCAGGTGGGCTTTCAATGCAGTGGGGGATAGACACCTTGACTAAGGCTGGGTGAGGATTATGGTCTGGTTTAGGACAGCAGACACAGCAAGGGGCATTTTGAGGCAAGGAAATCACAGAGTCTTAAGATGTAAACTCTGTTTTGATGCTATTTATCAAAGAATTAAGCCGTTTGTTCCTTTAAATGATTCAGGAAGCCCCCGGACTGAACAATAAAGTTATTTACAACTTCCCCTTCTTGGGCAGGAGTTTCCTGGAACGATACCATTATGTTGAAGAAGGGCGGGAGTATAACCAAGTCTTACTAATGTAGACAGTAAGCTGTGTGGGACTCGAGGGGTTTTTTAAGTAGTATTGAGATATAATTGACATATGATGTTATATTAGCTTCAAGTCTTCAAGTGTACAAGGTACTGATTCAATGTATGTAGATGTTGTGAAAAGAGCACCACCAGAAGTCTGGTAACATCCGTCACCACACATAGAGGGTACTGATTCTTAGTCTCTCCAGAGTACCACGGGGGACCCTAGAGCCCTGCTTTGGAGCTGCCCTTTTACACAAAACATGCCTGTTGCTTCTCAGAAAGCCTGCGCTGGCATGGAGAGCGGTTTCTGGAAGGCTCTGCCCCAGAATGCCTGAGCGTAGCCCCGGGAGAGATGCCGAGGCCGGGACGGGCAGAGCCCGGGAGCAGCCAGACCACGCTAGGGACCTGGTCTCAGGGCCAGTGGGCCCGACCCCTCCCTCAGAAAAGGGCCACAAGCCCAGCTGCTTTAGGTCTGGACAAGAGCATTCACTGGGCTCCTGCTGTGTATGAGCACTGGGCAGGCATGCGGATGTTTCTCATTCACTTTTAGGAGTCCCCCTCTTGGTGCCCGCCGTGCCAATGAGGAAACAGGCTTAGTTAGGGGGTTAGCATGGGCCTGGGAAGGAGCAGAGCTGGGGTTTGAACTGGGAGCCCAGCTCGGACAGGAGAAACAATGGCTTTCCTCCAGCTCACACGCTTCTTCTCCCATCACGGTCCTGTGAAGAGGCCTCTCTGCGCCTTAACTCTCCTCATCTGTGAAATGGGTGCTACCCCTGCCTGGCTTCCCTAATGTCAGAGGGCTTCACAGCAGACGGTGCGGGTAAGTAGCCCTCGGGGGACAGCGTCACATACATCTCGCACACCCAGGAGCTTCCTCTCCCATCGGAGCCCAGCCGCCTCGTGGGAGCCCAGCTCTCACTGCTGAGAACCTCGAGTTGGTCGGAGCAGAGCCACACTGCTTGTCACGCAGCCCCCTGGGGCACATGTGGGCGCTCGTGGGAGACTGACTCCCACAGGGCATGAGAAGACCGACAGACCCCCCACTCGCCCCACCTTCACAGTTGGGGGATCTCGGAAGCTCTGTCGCAGGCCTTGGCTCGGGGCCAGCCGGGGCCCGCGATGTGCTATGTGCGTACATCTGAATTCTTACAGCCTAGGGGCCGGGGCACCCTCTCTCCTGTAGACCGGAAGCACTTCAAGTAGGATGTCTTCAAGGGTGGACGTGGCAGGGCTGGCCCAGGGCTGCCCCACGATGTCGCCCGCCACGGACTCTAGCTAGTCGGCACCAGGTACCTAGAGAACAATGTGAAGGGGCCCCTGGAGTTGTGCAAGGCGTGGTGCTGGGTTTCGACCACAGAGAGAATGGAGGTTCCCAAGCCCACCTTGAGCCCTGGTACGCCAGACTTGAAGCAGAACCCACACCTCTCCTGCACTGCACCCAGGGAGGCCTTTTATTTTTTAATTTTAATTTTTTTTTTTTTTAAGATTTATTTATCTTAGAGCATGAGCGGGAGGGGCAGATGGAAAGGGAGAGAGAATCTCAAGCAGACTCTACGCTGAGCACGGAGCCCCACGTGGGGCTCGATCTCACGGCCCTGAGATCACAACCTGAGCTGAAACCAAGAGTCGGATGCTTAACCGACGGTACCACCCAGGCACCCCCAGAAGGTCCTCTCAAATCCTGAGTCACTCATCTGCCCAAGTTCTTCAGGGGTTCTCCATGGCACTTCAACATAACAGCCAAGTCCTTATAACAGTTTTCGAGCCTGATGTTTTCTTCCCTCCATCGTTGCTCATTTCATGCTTCCGGCTCCTTCACCACGCTCCAGGCACACTGGCTTCCGCGGTTCCTCTAATACTCCAGGTCACATGTGCCTCAGGGCCTTTGCATATCACCAAGGAAGTCTGCTTCCCAAGGACTGACAAGCAGTAGGACACCCATCCCTCACAAGTCATGGTACCATGGCTGGGGCTTTTCCTCAGTGGAGTGGCCAGTAGCTAGTAACCACAAGCTGAGAGAGCAGGGGCAGTCTCCCAGGAACCACCCCCCCCAGCCTGCCACTATGCCCGAAGTCCCACCAGCATGAGACCACTGCCCTTGGCTAGGCTCTCCCTGTGATCTTATGCCAACCCCTCTCAGGATGGTGAAGTGGGTTCCCTCGAGACAGAGCTGAGAGCTTGCCCGGGCCCTTGCCACTCCAAGTGTGGTCCTCGGGCCAGCAGCATCAGCAGCACCTGGGGATGTGTTGGAACTGCAGAGGATCGTTCCCACCCCAGAACTTATTTTTTTTTTTTTTAAGATTTTATTTATTTATTTGACAGAGAGAGAGACAGGGAGAGAGGGAACACAAGCAGGGGGAGTGGGAGAGGGAGAAGCAGGCTTCTCATGGAGCAGGGAGCCCAAAGTGGGGCTTGATCCCAGGACCCTGGGATCATGACCCGAGCCGAAGGCAGATGCCCAACGACTAACCCACCCAGGTGCTCCCTGCCCCAGAACTTCTGAGTCAGAACCGCGTTTTAACAAGACCCTCGGGTGATCTGTGGGCACGATCAAGTTTGAGAGCCGAGCTCTCGATGACTGAGACCCCATCTCACCTTCTCCAAGTCCCGGTGGTATGTGGTGCCAAGGTGTAATTTTCAGAAGCTAAAAACATGCGTCTTGGGGTGCCTGAGTGGCTCAGTCAGTTAAGCGTCTGCCTTCAGCTCAGGTCATGATCCCAGGGTCCTGGGATCGAGCCCCACATCGGGCCCCCTGCTCGGTGGGAAGTCTGCTTCTCCCTCTCCCACTCCCCCTGCTTGTGTTCCTGCTCTCGCTGTCTCTCTCTCTGTCAAAAAATAAATAAAACCTTAAAAAAAATAAAATAAATTTTAAAAGACCACTGGAGTCAGCTTGCTGCTTCATACGACACGGGTCAGCGTCCTCGAGCGCAATAAATAGTCACATTGGGGCTGACGTTTTTCCTGCTGGATACAAATCCACAAATTCACTTGTACTTCTCAGAGTCTATGCCCTTGATTGATGGTAACTAACAAAACCACAGCGGTACATTCTCAGGGGCCAGCCTGTTAACCAGCGCTTCGAGCATGCACTTAGCCATCTTGACCTCATCTCTAGGTTTGGGTAAGATTTCCTAATGACAGATTCCCCTGGGAGGGTGTGAATATTCCCGGGACCAAGCAGATTACCAGCTCTATGTTTCTGTTAAAGGATCCAAAGCTTGAGGGGAAAGGAGAGAACTAGCGCTGCCAAAAGGTACAGAGGGGAGACAGAAAAAAAAAACAAAGGAGGTGAAAGTAAAATAAAAATACACACTAGCAGCTTACCATGTGTGTGACTATGCTGAGTACTTCCCATTTCTTCCCCACTTAATCCCCGGAGCAACGTCTGAGCCAGCTAATACTTGTATTTATATCTTCTGGATGAGGACACTGAGGACTGGAGGAGACCGGGAACCTGGCTAAGGTCAAACAGCACGACTGGTGTCCAAACCCAGACCTTGTGATGTTTCTTAGAATTGGTGTCCGGGGCCCCAGGAAATGGTTTACCAAGCCTCCACCTAACCTGGAGGAGGCCCCTGGGCTGCCTCCAGAAAGCTGCCCACCTTTCCCAAGAGGCTTCAACACCTTTCCCACACACGTATTCTTCCTGACCCTGGGGAGCCTGACCGGAACCCCACTTTGGTCCAGAAGCCTACAGCAC